ATCGGCACAGCACCAGCCGTTGTGGTCACTTGGGGAGTGAGTCATAGGACAGAAGATCTTCCTCTCTCTATGCTATGCTGTTTTTTGTTACTTGCATACAACTTAATTTTACTTAACAATACATTTTTGTTCTCAATTATGTTTTTTTAGAATTTTTTTTCATCTTCCATGATACAGTTTTGTAGGTATAAAAATCCTCCGCTCCCCATTTTATCCCCATGCTACTTTTTCCCATATTATTACAGTAATTTAGTCCTGCAGCAACAGTCACAGATCTAAATTGCTGTTAGTGTACCATAGCATTGCAGGTATTCTTAATGGCAGAACAGCTAATATCACATTGTCTAAGTATATTTAACAGTTTTGTTGGGAGTTTTCCTTTTATTTGGAAGTAGAGATGCATGCTGCAACATATCTTCACTTTCCAATGTGTCACTCTCAAGTACACAGTTCATCTATTAGAATACATGCACTATGCATTTACCTATACATCAGTTTGGTATTTTGCATAATTCTTGCCATGTATCGGAGAGAAAATATGATATTTGTACTTTGTGAATTTGCCTGTTTCACTGAGCATGATAGTTTCTGGTAGGGACCCTTTGGTTACTTGTGAAGGATGTCATTCTTCTAAATGACTGAATAGTGTTCCTTGGAGCAGTTACACCATAGTTTAAATTTCCATTCCTCTTTTGATGGACAGGTGGGTTTTTTTCCATGCCTTTGCTATTGTGGATTGTGTTGCTATAAATATAGGTTTGCAGATCACTCTCTCATATGCAGATTTCACTTCTTTTGGATATTCCAAGGAGTAGAGTAGTTGGTTCATGCAGTAGATCATTTTCAGTTCTCTTAGCACTTTCCAAACTGATTTTCATAGTGGCTGTAAAAGTCTAAACTCACCAACAGTGCAGTAGGTATTTTTTTTTCTGACATTCATGCCAGCAAGTGTTGTTTGTAGATATCTGAATAGAGACCTTTCTCATTGGAATTACACAGAACTTCAACATGTTTTTTTTTATTGATATGTCCCTGATACTTAGGGAGCTCAGAAATTATCAAACTATTATAAAAATATTTGAGGCACTTCACAAGGTCTATATAGTTATTGGTAAAGACTTCTTAGAAAAGACATCAAAGGCAATCAAAGCCAAAATAAAACAATGGGACTAGTTTAAGAAGTTTCTGTACAGAAAAAGAAATGATCAATAAAACAAAGAATCAGCCAATAGGATGGGGGAAAATCTCTCCTTAGTACACGACAGATAGGGGCAAATATCTGGTATTTATGAAGTGCTTCAGAAACTCAGAGACAACGAAATACTTCACCCTGTGAAGAAATGAGTGAAGAAAATGGGTAGGCATTTGTCTAAGAAAGAATCTAAATGGGTAAGATGTATGAAAAATATTTATCTTATTTTTTACTTTTTAATTTTATATATAATTGTACACATTCATAGAGCACCGTATGATGCTTCAATAAAATGTATCTCTTACTTTTCAGATGAGACTTATACTTAATATTATGAATTAGCTTGTGTAAGTTAAATGGCATTCTTGATTTCTTTTTCTTATGTTGATATTAATTTTATGTTTTGCTTTTGCTTACTAACTTTATAAATTCTACTGATTCTTATTAACTGTACATAATCGCAATTTGTTTCTTTTTAAAATGTAATCTATTTTAGTGAAGAAGGAGTATCTGCTAATAAACTGCTATGAGGAGGTTAAGGTTGGATTTCACATGTATTTTCATGCTGTATAGAGACTACTCTCCATTTATAAATATTTTTGTTAACATTTAGGTATGATTGGCTTAGAAAACACAATAGAAAAAAAAACAAAACATAGTAAGTGAGTGTTCTACTTCAAGTTAGATGTGCCTATGTCAATTCCATATAACTATTTAAAATATGCATAATCTGGAAAAGCATGTTTTCTGGTGAATTAGTTTTGAATCAGTTTAATTTCCTGTCTTGAAACAGTAAAATCACCTTCTTCTATTCAAATCCTTTTACTATATTAATCACTACTTGAACAGGTATCTTTAGAAATTGGTGCTGTGGGGTCTGCTAGCTAAATCCTCACCTTTCACACAGTGATTTCCCACGTGGGTGGCCAGTTCATGTCCTGGCTGCTCTGCTTCCCATCCAGCTCCATTTTTGTGGCTTGCGAAATCAGCGGAGAATGTCCCAGAGCCTTGGGATCCTGCACTCACATGGGAGATCTGGAAGAACTCCTGGAACCTGGCTTTGGCTTGGCTCAGCTCTGGCCAATCAAGCCATTTAGAAGGTGAACCAGTCAATGGAGGATCTTTCTCTCTGTATCTGCCTTTTCAATAAAAATAAATAAATCTTAAAAAAAAAAAGAAACCTATGGTATCATTATCAAACTTTCAAATTGCATGTTCCTAGAATTTGCCAATAACTGAGGGTATTTATCTGTAACATAGGAAATGTGGCTGGAGGAGATTATACTATTGCAACAATGTAGGGGAAATCAGTTGGGGGAGGGGATAAAGGGTGAGAAGAGGAAATCCTTGGGGAGAACAGACTGCATATAAAACTATAGTTATTTAAAACTTACATTGACATACAAAGAGTCAAAGAGATGATGGGCCACATAATAGTGCTCAGCTGTAAACGAATTGCCAATTGGTCATTTTGTTTAGGAATTCAGTAATTTGATAAAGGGTTACCTTTATACACATTTTTATAAAAGGACAGTGAGCATTAGGCCTTATATGCAAAAGCGAAATTTAAAGACAAGTATTGATTGCTTACCCATCAAAATTTGATGAAGAAAAGGAAAGAAAATGAATGGGAGTGGGAGAGTGGACATCAGAAAATTACTTGATTTACATCCTTTCTCATTTAGTTTAAAACTACTTACAAGTCATCCACTGAAAAATAATGCTGAAAAATAATGCTACACAAATCAGGTGACTAATTTCCTTAAGCTTCTAGTTGGGAAAATATTGGACAAAATCAGACATTCTACTTAAAAAGCACAGAAAAACTCCATGCTGAGATGGCATTTGCATGGTTCAAATGAATAATAGATTATGTCATTTTAGAGTGTCATTTTAGAAATTTTAGAGTGAAGAGAGAAATTTAAGAAGCTGTTTTCATAGTATAGATACATCATCGTGAATATTACAGCACTGAATAGTTTTCTTTTGTGTCTAATATGAGGATAATAAAAATGATAGTTTTAAAATTTTAGTGGTTCATTGTGCTTACTTGGAAGTTAATTTTCACATGATGCAAAGATTTAAATATGGGAAAATAAAAATATCTAATACATGAAAGAAACTCTACCCCTGCAAAACCAAATGATGCTACTTGGAAATCCTACGCATAGTGATCAGCATTTCTCAAACATGTAAGAGGATCTAGGATTTCCATTCCCTGCATATGTTTAATGTGTCACCTTGGACATCTGCTAATGTCGAACATCTGTTTTATGTTTTCATTGGACTGCCAAAAAGAGAATGGGATCATTAGTTATTCTGCAACACGAAGCCAGCTAGCAGATTATCCTTGTATGAGGAATAATAATGTCAGGAAAGCCAAATCCACTACCATCAATCCAAAAGTCGGCTTTAAACTCAAAGTCATCATAGGCAAGGTTTCCAAGGTGATTGCCAAACTATCACAGCCTCCAAATAAAAACAAAAGTAGATTTAAAGAGCATGTGTCATTTGGAAATTATTGTAAACTGGCGTTATCTGAGCTTTAAAGTGAAAACACAGATGATATAGAAGGTAGGACAATAAGTCTCTGGTAAATTAATGCTAAATTTATGTTTAGTATAGTTTGAGTTCATTTATTTTTGCTAAAATGAATTTGTTACAAGTCCTCTATTGTTTGATTTTCATTAACTATGACAAGTTACTGTACAATCATGTTGAAAAGCTTAAAGTTCATATGAATTACCATATTGTAGAAGGGAAATGTGCTGTTTTGAATTGTATGTATTTTATATTATTGCATATTATCATGTCTGAAGTTGAATTACTGTAATTTGGATTTTTGGATCATTCATGGTCCATAAAGTACTGTTACAGGCTGTTAAGTGAGTTGCTGGAATGTTAAGTGGCCCACTTTTCATTCTGCTTCGTAAATCTATTTTTATTTCATTTATTTAATAAGTACTTTCTGAAATGTATACATGGTAAAAGACATAACCTGTTCTTCTAAATGTAAAATTTCCCTTATGTATTTTGTAATACAGTCTCTGTGAGGAATTTTAATAGGACAGTGGCTTTATTTTTTTAATATTGTATAAACATTTTTAAGTATATATGTAGATTTGCATCCATTCATTTTGTTTATAATTTGAATTTAAAACTAATATAAACAGAAAGGTGGTCATTTTCCACAAGGTATGCTTGGAGAACTTTCCTCTGTATGAATTTCAATGTTTGCATAAAAATTCAAGTCTTAATTCCATTTTACTATGCACTTTATGAAGTACATTCATACACACACACAAAACACAAACACTTTAATAATCATCTTAGTGTCACAAACTACTGTTGATATGTTATTGGTCAAATATGTAAGTATAAAATAGATAACAAGACTAACCCCATGCCTTTACTTTATACTTGCTTCCTATTTATACAGTGATGATGTTTTCATCATTCCAGCATGTCTGGAAAGACAGTGTGTGTCAGGGGGAAGTGTGAAAATGCCTGGCTTCATAAAAATATCAGTAAATCATTTGCATCTGAACTGATCTATTGTATGACTAAAATTGTAAATTCAGACGCTGCTTGGTTCTGAACATTTAACTCCACCCTTCACATTCAATAGTTAAATCAGTGTTTCTATTGATGTGCCTGTTCTACCCACCTGCTATTGTTTCCCAGCTACTTGCGGTTCCACAGGTTCAAGGCTTGCTTTCACTGTCAATTTACTGATTAAAAATGAAGCATTCAACATTACATTCGTTGTGAAATACTGGTTTATTTACTCATGTTCTGTTGTTTGTAGGAAGATGTCAAACTTAAATATATGGAGCGAGAGCTACGCAAAGAATGGAAACAATTCAAGGTACAATATAGATAGCCACAAAAATACAAGGTACAACTGAGCATGCATACCTTAGACAAGAACAAGTCTTTAAAACTTCAGAGCATGAATATTAAGAGATATGAAAGAATGATAATGAACATATGTTAAAGAAAATATATGTGCTAGTATTTCTCTAATAGAGTCTTGTAAGAGATATATAAAATAACTACTTGGGAACTATTTTTCTGCCTCCTAATTTAAAGGGGGGATATAGAATAGTCGTTTTCTATGTGCTAAGTTATTTCACATTTTCACTTATCTCTTCCAACTAAAATTACTGCTTTTTAAAAACCCATTTTATGGGAATGTCACTAATATCTGGAGAATATAAGGAATAAGTAACAAAGCTAATTAACTTACCTACCAGGTGTATTGGGCTACTGGATGTCCATAATTCCAGATAATAAAGAATTCTTTGCAGTTTTGTGGTGCACAGGAATGGAAAATTGGTAGTATGTAGCTGGTAAATTGGGATTAAAATATATTTTGTAATCTTACATGTTAGCTTAAAGGAAAATGAGTGACTCCTATGACTTATACGACATGATAAATTTAATACAAGCTTTTGATGCCTCAAAAAACTGTCTTTCAAAATCATCATCATTGTTATCAACCTTACCATTATCTTTACCATTATTTGTCAATGTTTTCTACAAATACAGAGAACAGGTGAAACCCTTTAAGAATATCATTTGTGTATATCCTTAAGTGTATTGGAAGACACAATAAGTATAAAGTGGAAATTGTGGTATAGTTAAATTCTTGAATATATGTAGAAAGTGATGCAGCATCGATATGTAAGAAAAAAAATCAGCATTTTTGTGTAGATTTATTTGTTTATATGAAAGGCGGAACAAGAGATTGGGATCGATCTGTAGATTTTCCCTCTGCTGGTCACTTTCCACATGATTGCAACAGCCAGGATCTGGTCTCCCATATGGGCAGTAGGGACCCAAGTACTTTGGTCATCGTTGCCTTCCCAGGTGCATTGACAGGGATGAGAATAGGAAACCTTGCTGCACCACAAGTGGTATCAGCTGCTCTACCGCAACACTGGCTCCAGAGAAAATAGAGAGCACTTATATTCATGTGTCATGAAACGCCACAGCAGTGATTGTAAAAATGACCGGCAGAGGGGATATCATTGTGATACAGTGAGTAAAGTTGCCATCTGTGACACTAGCATACCCACAAGGATATATCCAGCTGTTCTATTTCAAATTCCAACTCTCCTAATGGCCTAAGAATAGCAGGTGACTTGAGTTTGGCCCCAGCCACCCATGCACACACACTTTCTCTCTCTGAGTGTTATCTCTTTTAAATAGAATAAATAAATCTTAAAGCGAGTGCTGATTTTAAACAGAGCATTTTATTTTTTCATAAAGCAAAAATGCTCCAGCTGACTTCCAATATAAATTAGAAAACTGGCTAATGATTATTCACGTGGCTCAATTTAAGACACAGGTCTGGGAGACTATGTGCAAGTGACTATGGGCCGCCCTATGTATTTTATTAGTTTGTGTTTTAGGTGTTTGGAATGGGATGGGGACAACACATTTAATTTAAAAAATTCATCAGAAAATCTTTGTAAATGTTTACTTTTGTTAAGAGGAAGGAGAGTGAAAAAAGTGTGGGATGAATTACTAGGTTAAAGACTACCTCCCATAAACATCTGTGATGATGCAATTTTTGGCAGAGAGCAGTTGGCTGTTACCTTGAAAACTCCCTGATACTGTGTTCTTGGTGAGCTAATGCTTATGTATTTGTTTATACCCTTGTCAGTCAAAGAGCCTTGAGCTGTTTGCATCTGAGGTTGGCAGTTTTCCAAATATTGCAATTTATTGAACTATTAAGACTCAGATCATTATTGCTCCGCGGAAGTGTGCATTGTTCTCTTAAATTGCATTTTTTAGAAAAAAAAATGGATCATTTCATTGTTCATATGTATCAAATTAAATAGTACAATGCATAAAACATTCTAATCCTTTACCATTTTCCTTAAAAAGTCCAAATCTCATTTTTATTTAACTGCTTGAAGTTTTGTAGTAATTTGTCCCTTACCAACCTCTCCTGTCCAGCTTGACTTCTAGTTTCTTAAAAGGCCATTTCTCTCTCTCTCTCTCTCTCTCTCTCTTTTTTTTTTTTTTTTTTTTTGTCTGTAAAACTCCTTTACCTGCTTGACTGGATTTGAAACTTATTGTCAGTCTCCCTACAAGACTACACTTTCAGTAGTGGAGAGGTATTGGCAGGACCGCCTCATATCAAATGGTGAAAACTCAGTAATTACATTGAGTGTGTTAATGTTTAAATGATGCATGTTGCTCAAGTGGCCCAGAATAAATCTCTCATCACTTTGTTGATGTCACATGAATTTAAATGAATGTTTGGGAACTGAAGTGCCTCCCTTCATCCCTGCTATAATCTTTAATGACACCTGCTGTCACACTCAGCATTGATATGCCTTTAGAAGATGAATCAGGGAACGTCAAACTGGACACATAAGATTCTCTTTTTTATTAAAGTTATTGTGAGAGCACTTTATGACTAAGGATCCATAGTGTTGCATTGGGACATTATTATTCTCTCTTTTTAAAAAAATATTTATTTATTTATTTTTATTGAAAAATGATATGCAGAGAGGAGGAGAGACAGAGAGGAAGATCTTCCAACCGAAGATTCACTCCCCAAGTTGCTGCAATGGACTGAGCCGATCCGATCCGGAGCCAGGACCCAAGACCTTCTTTGCTGGTCTCCCACGAGGATGCGGAGTTTTAAGGCTTTGGGCTGCCCTCAGCTGCTTTCCCAGACCACAAGCAGGGAGCTAGATGGGAAACGGGGCTGCTGTCATTAGAACTGGTGTCTAAATAGGATCCTGGTGCGTGTAAGGCGAGGACTTTAACCTCTAGGCTACCGCTCCCAGCCTGAATATTGTATTCATATCCCAGGTCCTGTAATTTGCGAACTTTGCATGATCATCTTCCAAGCAAATTCTTTAGGAAGATGTCCTCTTATATCTTTACTAAGAATGATGGTCGATTCTGGTGGGATGTCTAGTCTGTCGTCAAGGGGTATCTCATCACACTTGTCACCTTGATTTATTTCTTTCAGTAGTGCACCCAGGAAGGAACATTTCAACATCTAGATCTAAAATAAACAAACAGACAAATAGATTCTTTGCAAACTTTAATGCGGGCTTTAAGCACTTTTAAACAAAGTTAGATGAGACATTATACTGATGAAAAATTTATACAAGCTGGTATTTCTTCTTTTGTATTCTTTGGCTCCCAAATGTAAGGAAGAATATACAGTATTTGTCTTTCAGCTGTTTTTGGCTTATTTCACTCAACATAGTATCTCCATATCTAACCATTTTAAAGCAAATGACAGAATTTTGTTATTTTTTTATAACTAAGTAATACTTGAAGGTGTGTGCGTGCGTGTGTGTGTGTGTGTGCGTGCGCATGTGTGTGTGCACACATCCAAGCCATTGCACATGTTTTCAAGTTCCTTTATCCATTCATTTGATGATGGGTGACTGAGTTTGAATTTTGATACTGGGAGCAATGTAGTGAATTGTTGGATCACATAGAAAGTCCACTTGCTGTTTTTTAAGGAAGCTCACTAATTAATGACTGTATCAATTTTCATTTCTTCTCCTTTCACCAAGTTCCCTTTTCTCCACATCCTCCACAAAGAGCATTTGTTGTTCTTTGTCTTTTGTCTAATATTTATTCTGATAAAGGTGAAATAAGAGACCATCCCGGTTTTGATTTCCATTTTCCTGATGGATACAGATACTAATTTTCATATAGTTGCTGATCATTTGCATTTCTTCTCTTGGCAATCCTCTCTTGGGTTCTTTCCCTATTTTAAACTGATGGATTATTTTGTTGTTATGCTTTTTGAATAACTGATACATCTTGATATGAAGCTTTTATCAGAAAAGTAGTTTGTACCTATGTTCTCCAATTCTGCTGTATATCTCAACTATCAATGGTTTCCTTTGCTAAGCAAAAGCTTCTGGATTTAGTATAATTCAATTTGTCTAGTTTTGCTTTTGTGTGTGTGTGTGTGTGTGTGTGTTACAGGAACTTTTCCAACAAGTCCTTACCTATTCCAATGTCTTGAAGCACTTCGCCTACATAGTCTTTCACTAATTACATAGCCTTAACTTAAATTTGGATCTTTGGACCACTTGATCTGATTTCCTGAATGTGATGAGTGGTATGAATGTAATTTTTCTTCTACATATTTATATCCAGTTTTTGCTTGCACCATGTACTGGAGAGATTATCCAATATATGGTCTGGGAACTTTCATAAAAAAATCATTTTGTTGTACATATATGGATTAAATTCTGTGTGCTATGTTGAACTTCTGTTCATTAAGCTTTGTGTTTGTTTTTAGTATACTGCTGTAGTGTGCTCTGAAGTCAGATATTGTGATATCTCCCGTCTGATCATTTTTGCTCTGTTTATTCTGTCTTCTGTGATAACATACGAATTGTAGTATGATTTTCCTAATTCATTAGATAATGTGCTTAGTATTTTGATGTGGATTTCATTGAATCTGTAGATTGCTTTGGATATTACTGACATTTTAATAATGTTGTTCCAATCAATAAGCAGAAAGTATCCTTTTTTCTTTTTTAACGTTCAATATTTGATTTTTTGTACTAACATGGCAATAATAGAATATGTTTTATACTTTCCATTTTAGAGACAAATTCTTTGGTTACATTTATTCTTGAATATGTTTCTTTGTGGGTATTGTGAATGGCATATCTTTTTTTAAAATTTTGGTGACTTCAACGTTGGCATATAAACAGCTTTTTTTGCATATTGATTGTGACATGGAACTTTGCTGAATTCATTTATCAGTTGTAACAGTGTTTTTTGTGCATGTAGGTTTGTACAAGTTACACTAAATTATAGGTACAGTTGGGCATATAAAATCTGCTTGTAGAAAAAGAATTCTAG